GAAAGACGGCGGAAGGCATTCAAGCAGATTTGGAAAGGCTAATAACTCATGGAATCGCCATCCGTGGACCCTCCGCAACGCCAGATCAGCATGGTCGACTCCCTCTTGATAATGGCTATTCGCAACAATCCCTACGACATGGTTTCGCGAATGATCATAACATGGGCGACTCTAACCAATTCAGCTCGATGAACTCTGTTTCCATATCCGCCATGACCGATTCAACGTTTCCTCCTTCACTCGTCGCCGACCCGTGGGTGCCCGAAAGCCAAGTCTCGCCAGATTTGCCACACCCAAGCACCGAAGCCCAAGCCCCTGCGAAACCAACCGTGAGCGTTCCCGAGATAGTGCCACGTCAAGACTTTGGAATTTCAGAGATCAACAACGCCTACGATGGAGGTACCGATGGATTAGGCGCGGATAGCGGGTTGGAGTACGGCATGGGACTTGACCAGAATCTTTGGATGCCAAACAACGACTGGCTAAGCATGGATGCTCTCAATGGAGGAGTCGGAGCTTGAAAAGGATTGGATCAGGCTAGAAGACTTGAGTCCCGCTCGAGGAGCTTCAAGAATCCTTCAGAGCCATCTACACCATATTTAGTGTCGGAACTCGCTGTGGGTCAATGACACCCCGAAGCCCCGATTCTCAACCCGATGATCCGACAAACCCTCCGAAGGCAGGAGTACTTCCACCGAGGCGATGAAATCGAGATATGCAAACGAATCCGAATTCTCGAGCTTGGAAACCCTCGCCTTACACCCTACGGACGAAACAGAAAGGTCCACCACACGCTAGAAAATCAATATGGGCCGATCCACCCCCTATCGTGCCATCAAAAAGCACGAACTTCGGGTCATGAGAACCCTCGGGCATGTTTCTGGCATCTATCCGGTAGTACTTGATAACATTTCAATTGTGCAAGTATTGGAGCCCAGCTTTACTACCTCGGTGGTTTATTCGCATCTGAAGGTCATGTTCAGCATCAGATCTTGACCTTTCAAAGAACGAGGACGATAACAACCCAAGAACATACTATGCATAGCCAAATCACAATCACTCTCATCTACATTTAAGCAAGATTTGGAATATTGGAAAAAGAAGAAGCACAGGTACTTTAGGGATATGGATACCCTTCACGAAATAATGCGCAGATGTTCTAGATAGTGTATTATCTTCATGTACATACAGTAGTCTGAGAGACACATGAGAAACGAAAGAAAACATCAATGGCAAACAACACTTGTCCGTATAACTCCGTTGCGATCCTTTGGTCTACTGCCAGTGATAACCCTGACTTCCAGCAACCGCTTTTCTGTTCCCACATGTCAAAATATCCCGCTGGTACGCCAATACAGAGAATTATAAATAACGGCGAAACAAAGAAACAAGGCACCCCGATGAAACAGTAATCTCACATCTATGGATATAGATGGTCGCTGATTGTTTCATGGGCAAGCGTTGTCATTACCAGTTCACGGCATGCTCCTAGATCTTGACGCGGAGAAGGTAACGCAGTTTGACTTGGGCAACATTGTAACAGATGTACTCGTTGTAGTACAGGCCGGCACCGTAAACGTTGGTATCACTAGGCTTCACATCGGGATCGGGCTGAAATAATGTTAGAATTTGCACACAAGTTCGAACAATTGTTAGGAGGAATTGAAAACTTACCATCTTGATACCCTTGAGACTTTCATGAACAACACCGGCATCGATCCACTTGCTGGGGCCTGTTCTGCCTTGACCCCAGGTACTATGCATGCCTTGCTTCTTTGCATCAGTGCCAGCATTAGGGCTAGCATTAATGAGCTTTTGAATAGGATCACCAAGCTCAGCTTCACAAAGCAAAAGCAAAGCCTCGCCGCCAGTGTTGTAAGAGCAACAGTATCCGGCCGACTTGGACGACATATCGGCGAGATAAATACCCTTGCCGAACATGTAACCTGACACAGGAGCTTCAGGGGGGGCAATACGGAGACCCTGGCTAAGGATACCACCGTAGTTTGTCGCTCGCGAGCCGTGCCAGAGAAGACGACGATCGGAAGAGATCTTGGAGAAATCAGAGTCATCGAAACGCTTGAACTCGCCTTGTCGCTCGATACGGAAGATGTCCTTGACGGTGTAGCTCATGTTATGAGTAGAACCGCGAGACTCGTTGAGGTAGTTCTTGAGGTGGCTAAATTCGCTACTCTTGTGGTCAAGAGGGGTCATTTCCTCAAGACCGAGACCCTGGAACTGGCGATCAAGAGGATGGATAGTGTCTCTCGTCTTGCGATCAATCTTCATGATCTCAGCAGCGTCCTTCATGTCAGACAAACTCTCGAGAAGTTCTATTTCCCGCTTGAGTAGGGTGTTGTCACGGATGATAGGTGGCCGGTTCCGACCAAAGGCGTGGGGAATGAACGAGTAGTAGGTATTGGAAAGGTGCTCAGTAGCAGCAGACATGGACATGTTCCATTTTGACGCGGCAAGCGTTGGGTCATCGATCAAGGCAGCGAGATCTTTGAGCTGCTGGAAACCGCGAGTAATAGTTGTTTTACTCAGCTTGCCCAGTGGCAGCTTGTTGGCATCGTAGTTGAGAGATGTCATGGCCTGCTGGAAGTACTGCTGGTTGAAAATGAGCTCCATCAGTTCCTTGACAGGCTTCTCGAGTGTACACTCAGGAGGAGATACACTTTCTTCCTCGTCATCTGCCTCTTTCTTGACAGCCTTCTTTTCGTCGTCGTCGTCGTCATCGTCGTCATCAGAATCGGGGTTGTAGCTACGCTCGACGAACGCATACTTGCCAGGCTTGGGATTGTCGGTACGGTCGTCCCATGCGAGACCTGACTTGTCCTTGAACTTCTTCTGGAACTGCTTGATAGCATCATCAACGGTTCCGTTTCCCAGGATGGCTTTCTGGCCCATCTCTCCAACACGGCCCCATCGAGTCCAAGTCTTGAAGTCGGAGGACTTGGGATTCTTCAATACCTGAATGCGGTAGAACTTGTTATTGTTTGCTGAGGAATTGGTCTGGTTCAATGAAGCATCATAGATGAGACCAGAGTCGGGGTCAACATAAACTTGATAGGTGGGGAGGGTGCAGTGCTCATCAAGAGGAATCGCGACATCCTTCTTCTTGATGAACTGGCCCTCGGCAACAACCTTTTCTTCCTCCTCGGGCTCATCTTTGACAGCAGCTTTACCCTTGGCACCCTTCTTTGCAGCAGCCTTAGGCTTAGCCTTGGTTTTTGGGGCCTCTTCCTCCTCCTCAGACTCATCCTCAACGGGGGCTTTGTCTTTGGTGCTTCTCTTAGCCGCCGCGGGCTTAGCCTTCGATTTAGGCGCAACGCTGGTGCTCCTTGCGCGCTTGGACTTAGGTTGGCTTTCCTCCTCTTCATCCTCTTCATCGGCGGCAGGAGGGGATCGCTTCTTTGACTTGCCATTGGTGGTAGCTTTCGCGGTGCCATTGGTCTTGGAAGCAGAGTCCCAGGTATAGTCGTCAGCGCTCAGCTTGTTACCCTTAGAATCGATATCAATAAGCCACAAGGGGTCCACGACAGGAAGACCCTTATCCTTGGCCGCTGTCACTTTGTTGCTTTGGGAGTTAAAGTCATCTTGAGTGGAAACAACATGGGTGGTGGCCTTTGTGACGCTTCTGGTGAATGACCCGCCATGCTTGCGGATGAGAGCCTCGAGAGAGGAATGGCTGTGGCCAATGTCGTCAAACTTGCCGCTGACTGCGATCGCACAGCCGTCCAGAGGTGGATCAGCTGGAGGGTTCGCGGCAGCTCTTCTTCTTGGGGGCATTTTGGCGGATGTGAGATTGAGTGATGTGTGAGAGTTGGGGGAAAGTGTTAGAGTTTAGAAAGGAATTGTCTCAACTTAAGACAAAGTTAGCAAAGCTCGTAATAGCCCTAATCATCCGCCGCGTGGACAAAAGAGCTTGGTTCAGGGGCGTCATACCCAACAACTTCGAGCTGAACCGAATGCAGCAATCGCCGAATCTCAGGGCGAGCGATCCTTGTCCAATGGTGCGAGGTGCGAATTACGAGATAGAAACAAGTGGAAGCGGACGATGATGAGAGGAGAGAGTCAGTTGAGTTGAGGAGAAATTGAAAGGTCTAGAGATGAGGTCGGCGCCTCCCCATTTTAAAGGTTCCCGTAAGCTTAAGCTCATATGAGGTGACGTCCAGCTGAATGGGAAGGTAGCACGGGCATCTAGGCTGAAACCCCCCCACTTGGAGCGATCCCTTTGACAGCTGGGGCAGGGTGACAAAAAGGCCCAGTTAATGGGCTGTACGGAGTAGGCATTAAAGGAATAAAAGAGACAGTTTTCATTGAGTTCGAAGCCGAATTGAAAGAAAAATGCCTTATGATGATCGCTTTTCTCGCTAATATCTTACTCAAATACATCATTTTGACTCATAGAGGTAGAGCGACAAGTCTTGAAAGCCCAATACTTACAGAGCCCGACCTGCTCACTCATTCTGTCACCCACAAATAACCGAGGAGACGCGCTCCAGGCACCAGCGCGCCAAAAGACCCAAATTCTAGGCGCGACCCCGCCACGACATCATGTGATATCAATTAAACTTGTCAAAGTGGGAATGGCTGCCTGGAATAACTGGATCATGCCTGGAAGTTCAGGGGAGAGCATACCATCCGATGCCTGGGAAGTCCCGTCGTCAAAGATACAAAAAGAGCCTCAGCATGTGATGACTTAATTATGGGTAGAGGCAAGAAGAATTAGGACATTTATTCTAAATGACGAGAAGATGTTTAGGTAAATTTAGGATAATTTAGGACACTTTAGGACAGGTAGTTTAGGATAATTTAGGGACACTTTAGGACAGGTAGTAGTTTAGGATAATTTAGTGTAGACTCAGAAGACCTTAGATTAGGTCCTGAATAATAATAAACATGTAATCCGCCCGATACCTGTCAACTATTCCCCGTCATCGTCGTCGTCGTCGTCGGAAACATCTGTATCATACATCGTTAGCAAAACCCGGCGCTTACAGATCAAGCGCATATTGGTCCCAAATACCGTCGTCATCCTCATCCTCATCCGCACTGCTGTCCTCGCTCGGCCACTGCACATTGATCTTGGGCATCATTTCGCCGACAAAGTACCTCCAATCCGTTCCGGTGTACTGCTTCACGCTCTCTCTCTGGCCTTCAAATGTGACAAAGGAGCGGGTCGGTCGTGAAGCCCACTGTTGCTGAGGAAAGCTGATCTTGATGTGACGCAAGTCGAGGTTGGGGATGTCTTTCAGCTTCTCTAGAAACTTATTCCAGAAGCTAGTTTTTGGCGGAGTCCCGGAGTGGCCATCTGGTAGGCGTCGTCGGAGGGTGACCTTGTGTAGTTCTAGTCTCTTGAGCGTAGGCGCAAACTTTCGGGCGACGGCAAGGAGGTGCTGAGGTTCCACATTCATCATTCCAAAATTGAGCTCTTCCAACTGGTGATATTCTGGCGAAGGCTCAAGGGGCGCAGGGGGTGATCCAGGCGTAGAAGACGACACAGGCGCTGGCGATGTAGCATTCTCGCGACCTAGCCACCCAAGAAGCATACCGGGACCAGTAACACTACTATGTGTCTCGTTGATGCGCAGGTGCTTGACGTTCTTCAACTTGAGGAGAAACCTGCGAAGCATCATATCCGCAGTCGATGAATGGCCAGCGGCATCGTCGCTAGAGAAGTCGCTGCCGCCGAGTAGGTCGATGTCGATGTGTAACTTCTCAAGATTCTCCAAAACAGGTGTGACCGAGGCCTCCATATACGAAGGGATATTGAAGGCACAATCTCGCAGATGATTTCTAGAATGTGACATGTGCTCAATGCCCTTTGGCTTCGCACCAGCCTGGCCGAGGGCGAAAAGCACGGATGTGAAGATCGTGCTGCCGTAGGCAGTCGACGTATCGGGTCCCCAGGCCATACCGCTGTTCTGGCCAGGACGAGACCCCGTTTCCCTGAAAGCCGTAGTCGATCCATAGCTTGTCCACTGTTTACCTGGGCCATCGCGTGTGCGGCGGATCGAGTTGAAGTCGCGAATGACTACGTCTTCAAGATTCTCCAGGTTCTTGAAGGCCTCTACAAGCATATCCCTGTGATACCCCGTACTCAGCAGAGAGAACTGACCATTGTACAACTCCGTCTGCCTCGCTGTCCTAGCATTGTGACCGTGGACTTGCAGGGCGTGTGCAAATCTATCAAGCCCGAAATGCACTTTGCGAAGATGGGGACTGAGCCGACTCTTTGAGATGTCAATCAAGGCCTGTAGACTTGTTTCTGAGATCATAAACTGCTTGCGGGTGAAGAACTCATTGGTAAAGGTGGTGTACAAAGCCTGCTCGATGGAGCGGCATGTCAGACGGACGTTTCCTAGCTCGGGAGTGGTGAGGAAGTAAGTAATCCGTAGAAGAACCTCGAGAGGGATCCTTTGGAAGGGAGAAGTTGCTGTTGCGGCGATCAAGGGGGTGCTGATATCGACCATGGCGGTGTCTGAGTCGGCTGTCATGTTGCCGAACTTTGCAAAGTTCAGTAAATCTTTTACAAATTTATAGAAACTTATAAAGTTTTGTAAAGTTTTGTAAAGTTTAGAAGAGGAAGAGATGAAGAGGGAGTTGGCCGTGGAGAAAAACAAGAGTAGATTTATCGCGGGCGAGAAAGTAGTAGTCAGTTAATCACAGTGGTAGATCAGAACAGGCAGCGAACAGGCAGTCGCTCCACTCATGCACGTCTAGAGAAGCATCAGTAAGAAATTCATGCCAGTGGCACGCACGTTTTGTTCGCTATACTTACGTGACTCAGTGTCCAATTTGCGCAACTCTCGCAATCAAGTCGCACCTCTTTCTGTGTGGTAGGTATTCTAAGATGAGATGAGATGATTGAGGTGAGAACATGGAATTGATCAAAATGACGTTGAGGTTCAGGCGAGGGACCTTAGACGCTACAGGTCAATTGATCCACCGAATCACGGCCCTTGCCCCTTTCTCACATCCCTCCATTCATCCAATACCAACAGCTTCAGGGTATTTTAGTCTGACATGTCACTTGAACAACGATCCACGACTCAATGAAAATGAAGAGGAAGAAATCCAACAATAATAGCAATTCATGTAAAAGAACTGGCTTTCTACCAGTATCAACACCATACAAGACAACACATGGTATCTCATGTCATAACATCACAGAACCCTGCGTCAATGCATTTCCCCCAAAAAACATTTCATCCTTAAAATGCCATAATAATAAAAAAACCATCATCTCACCCTCTATAAAGCATCCATATAAATCTTATAGACGCCCAAGCGCCAAACATAAAAACACGGGGGGTATAATATTCAGCACCAGCAAGCATCTCAGCGACCACCCATAAACTCGTTCTGTCGCAGGAAGCTCGTCGCCAGCTCGTCGCCTCCATGCTCAGCCGCTTCCATCCAGTGAACCGCGACACACATCAATCCTGGGTCACTTCTCACATCGCTCTCCTTGCCTTCGCCTCCGCTTGAAAACCCGGTGCGGCCTCCTCCGTTGCCCAGACGTCCATATTTGTCCATGACCGTCTGCTTAAACACCTCGCGAGGCTTTGAAAGAGGGAGCGTTGTCCGCTCAACGTATTCCGGGTTGGAAAGGTAGAACAACGCAAGCTCGCGCTGTGCTGTTGGGAATCCTTCCTTGGCCGTGATTGTCCACATCTTGCCCGCGTCATCCAATTTGTATGTTGTGGATGGCGGTGGTGGTGTGCCTGTTGTAGACTGTGGCACGTCTGGTATCGTGTTGTCGTTTGGCTTGCGCACATGTGTGTGTGCTGCAACTACTTCATCTGCCATCTCAACCATAGTTCGACAGACTTCTGACTTGAGCTTGAGAGCTGCCAGTGCAGTATTCCAGAATGCTTTGCCTCGTTCTTGTTTGTCCAGCACCGAGGGTGGGACGAAAGATGCAATGAACTGCAGGTCGCGGAACAGTGTCTTTGGTCGAATTGATGCTTCTCGGAAGAGAGCTAGCAGCTCTTTGGTGATGATATCGGTGTTGACGTTTCCTCCCGACATAATTGACCTTGTCTCGGAATTTGCCTGTCGGGGACCAAAGAAAGGCGTTTGAAGTTGAGATTGTTGTGCTTGCGATCGACGTTCTCTGACGTTGTCGATTGTCCCTTCTAGTGGTGTAGGACGGGCATTGGTGTTGTGCTCCGTCACCACGCTTGACCCAGCATCAGATCGATTCCATCGTGGCCTCTTCTGTCCACTTGATTGCAGCGCAGCTACAATAAGGTTCTCAAGTTCATAAAGAGCATTGAGCTTCGCGTAGGGGTTGGGGTGTACGCAAAACATGTTCAGCAGCCGCTGGTATGCCTTCTTGAAAGGGAACTCTGTCTTGTCTTTGTCTTCCTTCGCCACCGACAGGCGTGGTGTGGAGTTACTGGTGCTTGATTCCTCAGTAGAGCCCAGAGGGAGAGATTCCGAGGTTTCTGACGACCGGTCATCACCAGCGCCTCGTAGATTGCCAAAGCTCTTCTTCTTCTCAATAACTCGTGGCCGCCCTGAACTTCGCTTCTCCTTGATCTCGGATCGACGCCGAGCTCGACGATCTAAAGCATCTTTACGATCAATGCACTGCTGTCCCAACTGGTCGAACCAGCCATCAGTTTCAGAACCCCGTGAGAAAACTTGGTTGCCGAGGTCAGAAAGCAAAAGGCTACTTAGGGACTGTCTCAGTTCGTTGAGAAAGCGTGTCTTCTCGTCATCCATCTTCTGCTGCTGCTGGAAGACCGTCTCTTGAGATGACGCCGACGTGCCAGGGCGTCCTGTAGAGAAGCTTGAAGTCGATGGAGCAGTGCCGTGAGCTGGATGAGAGAACGTGGTTGAGAGGTTGGTCAAACTTGTAGTGGGCGAGTAACCCCGAGAAGCTCCTGAACTGGGAGACATGATCGGCTGGAACGGTGACCAGAACGTGCTTGCTGAATCGTTTGTGTGCGCAGGCGAAGCACGGTCAAAGTACTCTTGCCCATCGAGAATATCTGAAAGCGCCGAGCTCGCCCGAGGCATGCTCTGTCGCACTGAGTCAAGTGACTGCTGGCTAGGGCTGTGAATTGACAGCGACCTGAGGTCTCGCGCAAGGGAGTTGGGCCTGCTGGAAGTCGGGCTAAACTTGCGATCTTGTTCGCTGATGATACTTCCAGAGTCATCTCCATTCCAGGACAATTCCTTTTCTCTAGCCCTTGCGCGGTCATATCCAAGCTTGTCGCGCTTGTACAACTCACTGGACCACAAGACAGGCGCCTCCCGAATAGTCTCACCGACTAGTCTTGATATACACTTGTCAACCTCGTAGCAGAAACGGTGAATTCGTTCTTCGCCCCTACAGAAGTTCTCAATGCCACGGTTTTGAAGCCAAGCTGCGGTCGCCTCTGCAGGATCATCACTCAGTTTGTTTGGTCCTCCTTGTTCTTCCGACGCAGCAAGTAGATCCATGATCTGAGACTCGGTGCGATAAAGATAGGATGCACTTGGACCTCTGGCCATGTGGGCACGAGATCGTTGGAAAGAGTTCCAGCGGCGAGGCATGCCCATTGTCTTAAGCGCTTGGCAAATATCGCGACTGTGTGCGTACTCTTTTGAGTTGCGCACATCTGTCACGTACCACATCTTGTCACGCACAGCTCGTACTCGCTTCATCATGCGGTCGATGATACCCTCGTGGCGTTCTTGACTCTGCTTGAGCCAGACGAGCCAAGCGTCATACTCTTCAATGGCGGAAGCAGATCGTCGGATAGAGTCTCTGGGGCCACGAGAGAAGATGTTGATGAGGACTGCGAACCCATTCTCCCGAAGCGAAGGAGATGCGAGGGCGTTGAGCTGGTTGAGTGTCTTCCAATACTGGTGAGACGAGACAAAGTCGGCAAGAGCCTTGGATTGCGACGAGGCCGCCTTGAGCATTGTAATGAGAACGGCCTCTGGCTTGTCTTCCTTAGACTCAACCTCGGGGATAGAGGCCTCTCGCTTATCGTTCGTCTCTTTACCAAGCTGTTTCCTGTAAGGGTTGCGACTGGCCATTGACCGCTCTGTGGTGATAATTCTAGTCTTTGACTTGTATCGCTTCAGACCAGAAGCACGGTTACTCAATTGTGTCCTGTTTTCAGGTTCGAGGCTTCGAGGGATTTCATAGTCCTCGACAAGCTTAAGGATGGAGTCTCGAAGTTGATGGTAGTCCTTGCCGAGTTCGGGTCCATCTGGAGCATCTTCCTCATCTGTGTCAGTGCTGGATGAGTTTTCATCATCATCCAGTTCATCATCAGGGTCGAATGTCATGTTCGTAGAAAGACTCTTTCCATCAGCGGAGATGAAGAGTACAAGCCATCGCTCAGCGCAAGGGTGGCATGATCCACGGACAGTGTCAGAACCAAGATTCTGCGTCATCTCGTGGAGTGCCAGGCGCAGCCGGTAACCATCATCCTCATACTTGTTTAGACGTCTCTGTAGCTCCGAGTCCATCGCTGGTGGAGAGTATCGCTGAGGTGTCACTGATGTCTGCTCATCTAGATACCCGTCTCTTGTGGTAGTGTCACTAAATACCGAAGAAGCGCTGGTGCTGATGATGGAGGCAGTATCAAAGTTGTTCCTTGGGTTTGACATGGAGATGGGCTGCGAGATAGCAGACATCCCAGAAATGGAGGCCGGTCCTGATCTAAAGCTCCCTGAAGCTGAGTGGGGTCTTCTTTCGGGGAATATGGCATTCACCAAGGTCGCGATATCGGCAGGGCTAATTACCAGGTATGGATGGACCTCCTTGGTTTCTCGCAAGGACGTGATGGACCTCGCTGGAAGGAGTTTGGCAGCCGGAACCTTGGATCGTGATCCTTGGAAACGAGCGAGAATACTTTCCACATGGCCCTTAATTTTGGGTGGTATATCCACAGGAACACATGTTGCCGAAGGCTTACCACTCCACATGCTGGACACATACTCATGAGCCTTCATGGCTACCTTTTTAAGGATCTTCTCGCGCGCATAAGGCGTGATGTGGTACTCGGCCAGCATTCCGTACGATTCTGGATGGATAATGACGCCCAGGAGGAATACGAAGAAGAGGCATCTCCAAACTAACCAACGGGAGGTGTTTTCGACGTACTTGTTTTCAAGCTTTCTCAAAATGGCATTTCCAAGTTCCAAAAGTCCTTCAGGGATTCCAGTAGCATCTTCATCGTCGACAAGTTCAAATAGTTGGTTTACTGCGCGCTCGTAGAACTCCTTGGCTGCAACTTCATCTGAATGGTTCCAGTCGGATAAGTTGAATCGTGTCCCATGCTGGTCTTCTGCTCGGTCGAGCAAGAAGGCTCCATCCTCGAGGATCTTCATCAGATACCATTCCATATTGGATTTGCCAGACCAGTCACGCATTGCCGTCCAAATGTTGAGAACTGAAATCAAGAAATGCTCGCCAGTGGATTTGGGCTCCGAGATCAGTCGTGCCAAAGCAGTAGCCCAGATTTCTGTACGTCGTTGATCCTCGGAG